AATAACACAAGGACACAAAAAATTCCCCATATCATTCTGCGACTAAATCAGAAAGGAAAGAGGCCAGATATACACTTTAAAAAGTAATTATAAACAGTCGCCGTCCGGAGTGCCCCATGCAGGCGAAAAAATAAATTCTAGGAAATATAATATCGATCCCAGACAAGGGCTGTCAATGGTCTACCAATGAAAGGTATACCCAGACGCATAAAAAGATAGCATTTCTAGGAAATGTCAATCACTGATCATGACCCGTCCAACATACGCAATAAACATCTTTTCAAGTAGTTCATGGAATGTGTCTGTCCTTACACAATACCAGTGGTGGATTGCGAAACAGATGGTATCTTCCTATCCATGTGTCACTAAGGTAATTTCCAAAGGCATATTGCAACTTAGTGCCAAACATAATTCATTGTAGCTTTTATAGCTTTTAGATACGACTCAGTGACTTCTTTGTGAATGCAGGACAGAAATACTTCCGGTAATGAACATTTGCACTGAGAATTTCCTTGAAACAGCAAACTATTCTAATATATCTAGAACACTAGGAACTGTATTTCATCTTAGTCGCTAGACATGACATATTCGGAGATCAACCTATCGCGGAATTTCCATTGATCACGGTCTTTTTTCTCAATATTATGACGAAAGCTCCTTCTGCGAGGCTACATCAAGAAATGCTCGAAAAGAATATGTTTCGAAATTGAGAATATACTTTTAACTTATCTGACTTGTGCCTTATTCCGACGTGCATTAAAAAGGTATTTCTACCATCCAACACATCTACAGGTTAAACCGTTACATCTGATCGTGTCGTATTTAAACATACTCATAGACTGTGAGACATCTTACTTCAAAGGTAGATAACAGGACAATCTCTCGCTCTGCAACCCAATCAATAACAATCCTGGTCTCCTTCTTAGGATTTTCTTACCGAAAACGGAGGTTTATGTTTATCTCCTATCCAAACACCGTCGCTCGCTTTAGGTGGGAATCGAAGCAAAGTTGCTTTCCTATCTATCATACAAAAGTCATGTAAACACGTGACGAGCGATCAGTTCTAGGAATAGAAACAATAGATGACATCATGGCCAAGTACGTCTAGCAAAACACTCAACAAAAGACATTCATATATTACCTTGTCATTGTGACAAATCGTAACTAACATCGTGTAATCAATTTACTGGCATGATTTTCCACATAGAATTTCAATACGAAATTAACGAGGTGATTTACGCCAACGAACCCGACGTAACCAGAACCACTGATTGACATTACAATTGTTTTTGTTTTTTTCAATTCCAAATTCATCTCCTTCTATTAACGCACAGAATTTGACTTTCTTGTAAAGAAAAGATAATGTTTATGCTGTAAGACAATTGTAACGCGCCAAAGCAAATCAAAACCTTGACTGAGATGCCCAGTGCGAGGCAGACACGCGTGATGGACAAACGAGCCGCCATCTAACTTTACTGGTGAAATAGTTTGCACTAAAGCTTCCCCAGCTCTGAAGAATATAATTAAAGTAAGGTGAACTATTCTTAAATGGGATGAATCGCCTTTGGTAAGCCTTTTGCCCATAGGGCAGACACGGAATAGTTTTCCTTTGGGACATTTTCTCCAATTTTCCGTGATGCAATATAAAATTGCGTGACTACATTGAAAGGTCATCGCTCGCAAGTGTGAGTGAGCTTTATTGAAGAATAAAAAAGTCTATTTACAATTACTATAAACCCCCCAGTTTGGCTCGAAGACCTGGAACCAAAAAAATAAAATAATAAAACAAAAACAGGCAGCGATATGTTGGATGTATCTCCGTCTGCAGATCAGATGAACGTGTAATAACAAGGTTATGTCTAGGAAGTTAGGCCATGATGTACAGGCTGAAAAGATTTCTCGGCTTTCTCGGGTTTTGGTTGCGAATAGAGAGTGTCGATTGTCAGGTCACATTGTAGATCGAGTCTGCCAATGCTGCTTTTGTCATCGTGTCTGTCGATTTTTTCGTTAATTCTTTTTTTGCCCGAGAAATTAAATTTTGGATTGATCTTTTCAATCTGATCAGGCTCTCCAAATGTTTTTTTTTCCTTAACCTGATGAATATTCAGTTAAATAACTAAACTCTTCCGACATAGTGTGCTTAGAAAGGTTAACCTGAGACCACCGTGCGTGTCCCTCCGATCAACTCGAGATTAAATCCGGCATGGAAACCTATTTATACCTTGTATACCGGCATATAGCGTTTACTACAGTGGACTCCTTATTTAATTCTAAAGTTATTGGTTTCCCTTGACCTCCTAAAATGTAATATTCATGTTATGCCTTGCTAGCTAACTCTTCCAGGAAATCTTCGCTAAAAAGACAATCGAAGATATCCATGACGTTTCATGTACCTTCCTGTCAGTGCAAGGTTATCGTAAAGAAACATTAGTCGCGGTAAGAGTTCCTGTGAGACATTATTTTGTTGTTTTGAAACCGTGTACGTAATGGTTGCAGACGGCTGGCTAATTATAGATTTATTCATCCAGCAACGATTAATGAATTGCAAGTACTGAACAAGCAGTCATGCAGAGTCTACCTAAGCGGAAGTTGGTCGAAGATACATTATTCTAAGAAATTTTCGCTGTTTATCCGTTCGCTACAGGAAATTGAACGCAATTTTGCATGTAACTGGGGAGATCAAACTCAGCAGCACCGAATGCTTCGAACAAATAAGGTATGCATTTTCGTTCTAAGAATTGTTTAGGTCGTTCATTTACAGTGCATGACTGCATATGCTGAATAATGTCAGCTTGTTACGTGCGACGCTGGTAATAGACTCAGCTCAGGCAAATTAACCGTTAGTTGCTGGTGGTTTTAGCCGTCAAACCCTAGTGATGTCTGGAACGACAAAAGAAGTTTAATTTAGCAAAACTTAGTTCCGTCTTTATCAAATGCGGATTACGGCACGGGTAAACAAAACCATTGGCTCCAGAAATGCTTTTACTTCGTAAGGGACAGTGTTACAGAAAAACTACATTGGTCGGTTACAAACTGATCTAGAGAAATATAAACCTAAAGGCTGGTTTCCATATGATCGCAGACGATCGCGGATCGCGGATCGCAGATCGCAAAAAGTTCTGCG